CATCAGCCTCTTTCCATGTATTTTCTCCACACGCTGTCTCACAAAGAGTGAGCCAAGAGAGAGAGAGAGAGTCTCCCGACTCCAAGGAGGGAATACAGGAGTTCCCAGAATCCTCAGGAGAAGGTCATGCCCACACAGAGGCCTCGTTGGCTATTTCCTTATTGACAGGCTAGACTACACTCCTACACTTTTAATCCTCAAATTGACACCAGATTATGTAACTACCACAGTTGCCATTGTCACTTTGATTCCATATAGATACTTCTTAAAAAAGCATGACACTCAAGGTAGATACTTAGTCAATAATATAAATCCTTGACTTTTTCATAGCTAGATGATTATTTAATTTTAAGAAGACTTCAGGGACTATTTTTGGTTTAAAGCTCAACAGTTATCTCAGAGCAATCGTTTCACAGGTTCAGACAGCAACCCTGCCCCCAGCCCCCATGGCTCTAGGAAATCTGGAGTCTGTGAGAATTTGATTTTCTGTTTTGTGTTTTGCCCTTTTTTTCTGGATTCTTCTATAGCATCCTTGATCCAGATGCTCTGTAATGCTAGCCAGGCACCATCCAGTTCTTATTCTGGTCACCTAGCAAAGGAAGCAGTTGTTCATGGAGGCAAGTAGCCTCATGTTCCATTTCTTCCTTCTATTTTTGACTCTCCTTTTCCCTCTTTTGCTCCAGATGAATAGAAAGCAGTGGTTGTACCTTGAATGTTTGACTGCAAACTTTTAAGACTAGGAGTTAGAACAGTACACTAGACATGTTATTAAACCAATTCAATGTTTTACAGTTTTATAACTTATTAATGCCAATCACAATAAACATGGTTGCCTTCTTTTACTCAGCATAATGTCTTCAAATTCTATCCATATTGTAGCATCTGTCAAGACTTTATTTCTCCTACTGACTAAGTAGTAGTCTGTTGTGTGTTTGTAATCATTTTATTTAGTCATTCATCTGTTTCTGGGCAGTCGTGCTAAAATTGACATTGGAGTACAAGTATTTGGGTCTCCGCTTTCAAATCTTTGGGGTATATACAGTGGAGCATTCCTTAATAAGCAAGATGAACATGGATATCCTTGGTGCAAATTATGTGAAATTGCTCTCCACAGATTAGTAAATAAGCACAAGTAAACATATTCTCACCTTGTTTGCTGCCTACTTGGGCATCCAGTGCATTGTAAATTTGAAAAAGGTAGAGAGACAGATCCCAGCCACACCTAATAGCAGACTCTTTGATGTGGTTAAAAACAAAAAGTCGAATGCCTTACTACAAATTAGTAAGGAAGCACAAGTAAGTCCAAGTCCAGAGTGTTTTTCACAATCAGTGTACCAATTTGCATTCCTACCAGCAGTCAATAAGGGTTACCAATTGTCCCACATCTTTGCCAACATTTGTTTTATTCTTTTTTGTTTTAATCTTAGCCGTCCTAATGGGAGTGAAGCAGTATCTCGTTTTGATGTGCATCTTTGTGATGGCTAGTGACATGGAGCATCTTTTCACGTGTTTAGTAGCCATTTGAATGTCATCTTTGTTGAAATGCCCTCTTCAAGTCCTTTGACTTGATTTGGCTGATTTGGCTTTTTTTGTGACAATGTTAAATGTTTATGTAGATTTTACTTAATTAGATCCTTAGCAGGTGTAGTTTCTGAAACCATTCTCCCAGTTGGTAGCTTGTCTTTTCACTTTTTTCATAAAATCCTTTGATGAAGAAAAGTTCCTAGTTATTATGAGGTCCTATTTATATTGTCTTTTTCCATTTGCTATTTTATTCTTTAGAAATTCTATGATTAATAGTTAGGCTTGAAAGCATTGTCCATGCAGTTTCTTCTAAGAATTTGATCGTTTTAGTTTAATCGTCCTTAATTGGCTTTGGATTTGTGTGTGTGTTTGTGTGTATGTGTCTGGCGTGAGGCATGGATCCTGTTTCTCTCATTGAGGATTTTTGCATGTATGTTTGTGAGCGGTATGGGTATACAGTTTCCTTCTAATGTCTGATTGAATTTTACGTGAATAAGAGTGCTCTTTGGTTCTATTTTCAGGAAGAGAATGTAGAATGAGATTGGCCTTGTAGAGCGGTCATTTTAGGGTCGCTTAGGTGATGAGATGTACAACGTATCTCAGGAGCTGTCCTTTTCCTTCTCTCAGCTCACTCTGTCCTTGGATTAAGGTGAAAACTGTGGTTTGTGGGTCTTTGAACCGAAATCTTTCTGGCTGATTTCTATTTGTAGAGGGGAAGATAATGGGGAAACAAGGGATGGATTATAGAATTGAATGCCCACAAAGTTTGTTGAGAATGTCCATGTTGCCTAAACTAGAGTGTAACTGACACAAAAGAGATTCGAGTTTGCCTACCCCATTTGCAGCTGTGTGTACCTGCTGAGCCTGATTTTCCTTGTCTATAAAGTGTTATTACAGTAGCAAATCCAACTCAAACTCACTGCCATTGAGTTGATGCCAACTCATAGTGACCCGCCAGGACAGGGTAAAACTGACCCTGTGGATTTCTGAGATTGCTATTCTTTATGGGAGTAGAAAGCCCTGTCTTTTTCCTGGGAAGTGGCTTGGGATTTTGAACTGCTGACTTTGTGGATCGCAGCCCAATGCATAATCATTACACCACCAGGGATTCTTAGCAAATCCAAAGGATCAGTATAAAAAGTAATGCCATCATATATTTTTAAATATTTGGTGTGTAGCAAGGATAGTGTATCATCTGTCTCCATGTAGTCAGCACTTAGCTGCCCTGGTATGCCCTTGGGCTGCTAACTCAACAGTTGACCATGCAAACCTACAAGCTGCTCTATGAGAGAGAGATGAGGCAGTCGGCTTCTGTAAAGATTCATAGCTTCTGAAATCCACAGTGGCAGTTCTATTTTTCCTTGGATTAGCGATGGATTGGTTTTGGGTTTACACAGCCCTGATGATGGAAGCCATGGTATCACAGTTTACTGCTGGACCTTAGCCAGAAGATTGGTGGCTTCGATCCAGAGCCATTTCAAAAGAAAGACCTGGAGATATATTTCTAAACGATGACAGCCATTGAGAACACAATGGAGCACAGCCCTGCTCCAGTGCCCATGAGGTAGCCATCATGATTAAGAATTGACTTTCTAGCATCTGCTGCTGGTACCCAGTCTTTTTGTAACCCTAGCACTGAGCCTATTATAGGATAAATGTCTGCTTGCTGAAATAAAAATGTATGAAATAAAAATGTTTAATGAACGATTCTTTTTTTATTGGCAGAAATGGATCTGTAGGCCTCACAAAGTGTTTAGGGCTGTAGTTCTTAACCTGTGGGTCGTGACCCCTTTACGGGTCGAATGACACTTTCCCAGGGGTCTCCCAATTCATAACAGTAGCAAAATGACAGTGATGAAGTTGCAATGAAAATAATTTTATGGTTGGGGGGGTCACCACAGCTTGAGGAACTGTATTAAAGGGTCACAGCATTGGGAAGGTTGAGAACCACTACTGGTTTAGAGTCACGACATGGAAGTATGTGAATTAAAGTATGTGGTTAGGAAAAGATTGTTACAAGAGAGAGAAACTAGCCAGGCATTGCTTAATGCTTTAAAATAAACCCAACCAACAACCGAATGTGGAGCAATTGATGGAAAGGAACATTATCTTTCTCAAGTGAGCTTGGAAGCCCAGTAGAATTGCACTGGCATCTGCTCGGTGTTGCAGGGCCTGTCATCTGCCCAAGGGAAGACTCAAGGGAGCCTGTTCTACCTTGTGAGGGCCCTCAGGCAGCTGGTGAGAGCGCAACCTAGGGCTCGCTTTTGACACAAGTTAACTCCGATGTTGGCCTAAGTGATCCCAAGGAGCTGTTGGGTGATAGTCTCTCTAATGGTCTGAAAGGGAGAGCATTTGCTTTTTCAAGGCTCATGAATCGGGACCATTTGGAGTATATCTGTCATGGACCTTTGCAGTTTGGAAGGAAAGAAAGTACTAAGTTCATTTTAAATGTCTCAGAAAATGTGGTTCTTTTTTTTAATCTTTGTTTTAAAAAATAAAACCTTATTTCTTAAAAAGCTTGTCATGCAGGGTTGTTTCCCTTGCATAAATGGAGCATTCTGGTTATTTGGGATCATTTGTATCTGGAGTGTTTCTAGGTAGAGAAGATGAAATGGTGGCATTGCCCTTTCCTTCAGAAACCAATGGCACTAATAGGGCCTTCTGCCAAGGAGCAGGCACAGCAGAGGCAATCATAAATTTTGAACTTTGTGGCATAGACCAGGCTTCTAGGCCATGGAAACTGAACATACTAGAGAAACTTTGGCAGTTATATTTCCAGATGTTCTGCTCGCAAATACCGGAGGTGCTGTTTTCAGCATCAAATCTATAGATAGATGCATGGACTGGCTTTTCCATTCGAATATCCATTCAGCAGATACATTGAATTTCTGGCTCGGGCATTCTGTCAGATCATTCCCTTTAAAGCTATCTGGAGGAAATCCCCCTGAAAATGATCAAATTTGTGATAACTTGGATTCTTGCTTACAAACTTACCTCTCCCCCAGGGATGAAAAGGTCTGTATTGTTACGTGAGTTCATATGGTATATAGGTTGTTGTCAAATATTTATCTCTGTCTAAAATTGAAATGTACTGAAATGCAATTTCTCTATTTCTCTTTCACGGAATAAATCAATGAGAGAAGGAAAACCACTTCTCATTTAGGCAATCTTCATCAATATTTTCACGAAAGGCTGCACCGGGAACTGAATCCTGGCAGTTGTCATTTGAAATATAATTTGTGTGTTTAAGAATTTATGTGCCTCTCCAAATTTGGACTTCATGTTCTGAAAGGGAAATTGATTTATAGGAGGAAGCAATTGCAGAAGTAGAGGCAATGTCAGAAATGAGTATGAGTCGATTATTTAAGGCAAATGGGACCTTAATCACCGCAGCAATTGAATAAAATATCTCAAATTCATTCACACTGCTTTCTAGACTTTAATTTGTGGACCTTGTTATGTCTCTTCTTTTGCAGAGGCCTTTGAAATTGTTGTTCGCCATGCCAAGAACTACACCAACGCCATGTTCAAGAACAACTACCCAAGCCTGACTCCACAAGCATTTGAGTTCGTTGGTGAATTTTTCACAGATGTGTCTCTCTACATCCTGGGTTCAGACATCAACGTGGATGACATGGTCAATGAATTGTTCGACAGCCTGTTTCCAGTCATCTATACCCAGCTCATGAACCCAGGCCTGCCTGAGTCGGTCATGGACATTAATGAGTGTCTCCGAGGTGCAAGGCGTGACCTGAAAGTTTTCGGCAATTTCCCCAAGCTTATTATGACCCAAGTCTCCAAGTCACTGCAAGTCACACGGATCTTCCTCCAGGCTCTGAATCTCGGAATCGAAGTGATCAACACCACCGATCACCTAAAGTTCAGTAAGGACTGCGGCCGAATGCTCACCAGAATGTGGTACTGCTCTTACTGCCAGGGACTGATGATGGTTAAGCCTTGTGGTGGCTACTGCAATGTGGTCATGCAAGGCTGCATGGCCGGCGTGGTGGAGATTGACAAGTACTGGAGAGAATACATTCTGTCTCTGGAAGAGCTGGTCAATGGCATGTACAGAATCTATGACATGGAGAATGTGCTGCTTGGCCTCTTTGCGACAATCCATGATTCCATTCAGTATGTCCAGAAGAATGGAGGGAAGCTGACCACCACTGTGAGTACCAGCCTGTAGTTTGCAGTATTGGCTCCTCTTGGGGTGGGGTGGGGTGGGGTGGGGTGGGATGGCCTGGTTAGTAATAGATGCTGATTGGAGAGCTTTGGGGGGCTGATTTTTTTTGGGGGGGGCATGAGTAGGGAATAACAGGACTAGTCAGTGCATTAAAAGCCTAGGCTATGGGGTGACACAACATGGTTTGCCTGGGATCAGAGTCCCCTCGGAGGGAACTATGGCCTCCATTTTATAAATGATGAAAGTGAACCCAGATCTAGTTCATGGAGCTTTGATTTAGAAATTGATCAGATCTCTTTTGATATAGTGGTTACGCATTGGGCTACTGTTCAGGTGGTCAGCAATTTGAAAGCATTAGCTGCTTTGTTGGAGAATAACTGGGCTCTCTAATCCTGTAAACAGTTCTAGCCTTGCAGACCCACAAGTGGTCGCTATGAATCAGCATTGAGTCAATGGCAGTGAGTTTGGTTTTGGTCTCTTTAATGCAGCTATCAGTAATTTTTCTGATTCTGATTCCACTCTTGAGATCATCATAAAAATATCACATTAGCATTTGAGGTAGTGACTTTCAACTCAGCAGACCCAGTTAGAACCCACTAATTAAACCTGCACAAGAATTTACCTACCCTCCTGGCCATCGAGTGGATTTTGATTCATAGGGACCCTCTATAGAGCTTCCAAGGCTGTCAGTCTTAACAGGAGTCACCTGCAGAGCTGCTGGCAGGTTTGAAGTGATGACCTCACAGCACAGGGCAGGCCAAACATCTGTGGTTCCCAGCTCAAATCAATTCAACTCGCTTCCCTTGATTTGCTACTGACTCATAGTGACCCTTTAGGACAGAGTAGAACTGACCTACTGTAACTATTTTAAGGGACTAGAAAGCCCCGTCTTTCTCCTGAGGAGCAGCTGGTAGTTTTGGGCTGCTGACCTTACGGATCGATGCCCAGTGGGTAACCACTATCCCATTAGGGGTCCCCTGTGCTTCTCAAGTAGTGATTTTTGAGGCTTTTATTATAGCAGTAGGTGGGATTTGTGTGGTGGAGGGACAGTGCTGTAAGTGAGGCAACAGTTGGATTAGATTCATCCGGCATTGTTAGCTCCATTGTACCTGCCAAGCCAGGGGGCATCCATTTAGAGCCACAAGGAGGCACTTGCTTCTCTCCTAGAACAGGACAGACAGCTAAGAGCACTCAGCCAGACCCTCCATGCTGGCAGCTTTGGAGGAAGTGGTGTGCTAGCAGAGGCCAGGCCTGGTTGTGGAAGACACTGGCATGGTTGAGTTCCTCCTACATGTTAAGTTAAGGTGACCAGACATCCCGATTTTTGGCATTTTTTAAAAGTCCCGATTTTTGGAAAGAATGCACGACAAGCTAGAGAACGGTCTATTTGGTCCATATAGACCAAATTTTTTATCCACACCCCCCCCCCCATCCCCCCGGTCAATGGTGCCCAGCTTTAAATCTGGTCACCTTATGTTAAGTGCTCACTAAGGTAGTGAAGGGGTCCCTGTGGTTCAGTGGTTAAGCACTTATCTACTGACTGAAAGCCTGCCTGCTCAAAGCCACAAGCCACTCCACAAGGGGAAAGATGTGACAGCACATTTTTACAAAGATTTATAGCCTAGGAACTCCCATGTGGCTCTTCTGCTCTGTCACACAGAGTCACCAGCAGTCGGCATGGACTCCGTGGCAGGGTGTTTCATTTGGGTTTGAAATCCCTGGGTGGTGCAATGGCTTATGACCTCCTTCGGACAAACCCTAGGGCGCCTGGTTCTAGTCCACAGACCTGGCGTTGCCAGGAGTTGGAGTCCACTCAACTGGGTAACTGGGCGGTTTACATAACATTGGCTCACAGTTACCCATGCACTAGGTCCTAGATTTGTCTGCATTGTACACAGGAGGAAATAAAGCTCATACAAGGTAAATTACCTTCCCAGGATCACAAAGCTGATTGAGTGTAGACAGTGACGATGCAAAGCCAGCCCTGGTGAAATGGATGGTGCCCTTAGCATCTGTGCAGTGCACCTGCTGTGTCCTCTGAGCCATTGCTTACCCAGAAGGGGGAGGGTAGAGTGAACCATTCAGTCTCGTCTTTAAAAACTGGCATTACAGATGATCTGGGTCATTGGTTTCTCTGGTGAACTAAACTGGGAAAGAGGACCAAACGGATGTAACCGTCGGTATGGCTATTTCAGAGCTCTTCTAATTGCCCCATTCATGATGTTAGCCCTTTAAAACCCATTTGCTGAGAAAATATTTCATAGCAAAATGAACAGCAATGTCCTATGTAACCGTGGTGTTTTCAGTGGCTAATTATTCCCTTGACTGCTTTATAATTTGAGGCCACAATCCAGGCCTTGTGATGAAAGTAAATCTCACAGAACTAGACAAAAATGGAAAGGAAATGCATTCCTATGTTCTTCCACCTAAAACCAGTTGAGGGCTCGCTGGGTATCAGACACATAGCAAAGGTCCAAGGTTGTGCCTTCACTACAAGGGAGAAGAAGGAGACAGCAGTAAGGGTGGGAGGTGGGGAAGTATTCAAGGTCGCCTCTTAGGGGGGGTCATTTGCCGGCAGCATGACTGATCTTGGGAACAGATCTTCTTTCCTTCGTTCTTTTAAACCCAAACCGTGGGCCAGGGAGCTGGTCCTGGTCCTGTTTGGATCTGATGCGAGAATGCAGGTTCATCTCAGCAGGCATTATGGCACTCTGCTGGGTGCAACGTTTTCCAAGCTTTCCAAAGCACAGCTCTTCAGTCTTCAACAGGTCACAGTTGAGTTGGCTGCCATCTATAGCACTGAATGAATTCTAGCAGAGTGAACTCGTCACAGGAATGGAGGTGGTACAAGACTCTGAGAGAGATTTAGCTAGCCCAGAGGAGCTCTGGTGGTGTAGTGGCTCACACATTGGGCTGCTAACTGCAAGATTAGTGGTTCAAAATTGCTCGCCACTGCTTCAGAAGATGACGCTTTCTGTTCTCATAAAGCAGCGGTTCTCAACCTTCCTAATTCTGTGACCCTTGGATCCAGTTTCTCATGTGGTGGTGACCCCCCCAACCATCAAATTATTTTCATTGCTACGTCATCACTGTCATTTTGCTACTGATATGAATCGGGCGACCACTGTGAAAGGGTCATTCGACCCCCAAAGGGGTCCCGACCCACAGGTTGAGAACCACTGTGGTAAACCGTTAGTGTCAGAAACCCAACCTTGTCCTATAGGGTCGCTAGGAGTGGAAATCAACTCGATGGAAGTGAGAGAGCCTACTGATTTGCAAATCAACAACTGAGGCTCAGGTAAAGGTTTCCCAATGGTATGGGAAAAGCCAGAAGTAGAATCCCGGGTCTTCTGCACCTCCAATCTAGTCTTCTTTCCGCCCCACCCCCCATTAGGCCCTCTCAAGACTTCCACTCTAAAAGCTCCGTTCAGACTTAGCAAAAACACTGCACTAAATTGGACAGCTAATTTGTGATGTCAAAGCCGCTATACTCTTGTCATCCTCACACATATGCTTGAAGAGGTGTGTGTGCTGGTGTGTGTATCTTTCAGGAAGAAAGGCTCAGTTCCCAGTTGGTTAGTAGAGCCGGAAATCAACCTTCCCCAGGGAATGCCTGACTTAGACCAATAAGCATATGGTAACTCTGCCTTGTTTCTGTTTTATGATCACCAACTTCAAGTAATGTTTGAAATGGATGGGAGGAGGGGCTAACTGGCCAGGCAGGATCTGACTGGTTCTCTGTAAGGTCCACAAAGGGCAGGACCATTCATAGGATGGAGAGGGAAGTGAGGGCTGAGAACAGAACTCAGTTCATGTTTAATAAAGCCACAGAATGACCCAAAGCTGATTAAAAACAAAGCATTAATGAGATGCTGTTGTAACACCTTCAGCTTCCTGTTGTGAGTGATGAAATACCCCATTTGGTCCTGCTAGAGGTTCAGCTGTTGTAAGTGGCCTCTTTGAAAATCCATTCTTTTGACTTTAGCTAACTACAAGCAATGCCACAAGGCCTGCCATATGGGCACTTTGCCCAATTGTTTTGGTGGTGCCATCAAATCCTGGCGAGCATCACAGAATGCCAGGTTGTTAGAACAGTGTTCTTGTGTTGAGGGAGGGCTTGATCAGAGGCCCAAAGTCTGTCCACTTCCTCAATGTATTGCCATATAAATATATGTACATAGGCAGATACCTCTATTTTATGAATTAATATATTTACATATGTACACAGCTATGCTTATACCTCTATCCATCAGCTGGTGGTTTTGAACTGCTGACTTTTTGGTTATTAGCTCCAAATGTAGCCACTAGGCTACCAGGGCTCCTAATACTGCTGATACAGTTAGTTAAGACAATATACTATTTATTTTCCCTTTTGATTAATTTTTTAATTTGTTCTGGTTTCTGTTACCATCTTTACTTTGTTGTTGTTGTTTTTGTAAGATTTTCTGTCCCCCAATAAAATTATTTTTAGAAAAGATTTTCTGTATATGAAATCTAGGATAGGTAAATCTATAGAGACTGTAACTAAATTATGAGTTAATTAGGGATATGTCAAGGGAGGTTGGGTAGTAACAGGAAGCTTATGACAGTGGGTACAAGAATGAAGAAAATTTTCTGAAATTGATTCTGGTGATGATTGCACAACTCCTTTTAATATTGTTAGACCATTGATTGTGGTAATGAATGCACAAGTCTTTTTAATATTTTAAAACCATTGAACAGTATGATATGTAAATTATATGTCAATGAAAGTGTTTAAAACATTGCTACAAAATCACAGAAACATTTATTGAACAAAAATATCAGAATATGAAACTATTGTTTGTATCTTCCATATAAGTCCATACACTTCTGAAAGTGGTCTTTCCTTTTGTCTAACCCTGCCCTGAATAATTCATGGCCTTTCGATTGACATCATGTCAAAATGGAAGCTTTACATCTTCAAGGGACTCAAATATGTTCCTATTAAATATTCTGTGAGTTTG